TAAAATTCAGAACTCATAAACATGCCTGTCCAATTAAATGTTCATTTCTTGTGAAGAACTACTATTATTACACATACAAAACAAAGAAGAAATGCCAGACTTATGCATTATACAGTATAGATCCTCCCTTGCTTTCAGATATGTAGAGAATCCCAGACTAATGTCAGCTATTTTCTGTAGTATCTCACCCTCCCTCACATCCAGAAAAACAGCATGTACTCAGTGTGACTCATAAATGACAGAAGTGGTCAAACAGGTTCCAGAAATACCAGCTTTCTGCTTCTTTATGCTTGACAGTAGTGACAGTGTGATGCATTGTTTTGGGTTTAAGCCAGATGTAATGTTTTCCATTTAGACCAAATTATTCCACTTTTGGTCATCTTATATGACCACAAAACCTTTTACTACATGTTTGCAGTAACACTTAATTGATCAATTGTAAACTCCATGTGGGATTTGAGATGGGCTTGATACTCAGGTGAAGAAGGCTTCTTCACCTGAAGAAGGCTCCACGGCCGAAACGTTGTGTTCTCTTTCTTCTTTTTTTCAGCATGGAATAAACCTATTACTTGTTCCGGTACAATATACATTCTACTTCCTAATGGTCAAATTCACAGTGTTTAAAGTGATATTCAGTGTCTTTGACGTTTTATGAAGCACTTCATCTGTTCTACAATGTTACACCTGAGGTATTTTGAAAGCTCTGTATTTGAATTATGTTTGAAATTCATTACTTCACTGGGGGACCTTACAGAGAAAAGTACAGCAGGGTTTCAACATTTGAAATTGATAACCCCGTAGATTATAATAACCACTTATTTAGTTTTTCCATTAAGTATTAAATAAAGAAGCAAACACCATCAAACAGATGTAACCCTTTCCACCTACACACCATTTCACTTTTGTCATAAATAAGACCTAAAAATAAATCAATGCAAATGAAAAAAATACTGTTCTTTTCATAACATCAAGTTTAAAAGGGAGGAGGCTTCGACTCATTACATGGTATGTAAAAGTATTAAAAGTATTTCCTGAGAAGCTGAAAAAGCTCATCAATGAGAAGTTATTTAGGCAAGAACAAGTCTTCAACAAGGAAGAAATTTATCTTTTAGACATATGGCATGCCCCAGATGCTGCACTAAGCCCTAAGCCCTTCCTCCACTATCACAAGTGTGGACTGTGTGACCATTCGAGGGTGCACCATTATAAAAAGGTAATATATAAAACCTTGCACAATATCACAAAGCTTATGGTCAAAAAGCTTTTTGTTGTTCATTCTTAAGAAACATTAACAAAATGCTATCACACGAGGGTGTTCCATTACCTTTTTCTATAACAATGCGCCCTTGAATAGTTGTGTACTTGAAGTACACAATTGATCTATGTCACAAAAGTGCGGACTTGGAGAAAGGGCTTAGGGCCCAGTGCAAGAATTGGGACTATACTTTATATATTAATTACTTTATATATTGAATACCTTTATACTATTAAATACTTGTGCTATTAAATATGTACAAAATACACTGCAGGTAAATGAATATTCATCACTCCAAATGAGGTGACGAAATAAAAGCTTTATGTTAAAACTTCGTACCAAGAATACATACAGTTGAATCTAAAGTAGTCTAATTAATTGTTTTTACATAAAATATTATGAGTTTTAAAACTGTTAAAAAATTAATTTAACTAATGTTGATGTTTAACTAATGGCAACCTCTCTCTGCTTTGATAGGCTACAACTTGAAATGTCACCATTCCGTAAAGAATGAGGGGTAATTTCCTTCAGCAGAGTCCGCTCCAATGCAGACTTCAAAGAAGGGTCGCTCTTGAGCACCCTTGTGAAACACAAATTTAGAAATGGAACACCCTAAGCCAGGGGTGCCCAACTAGTCGATCGATCGCAAGAATGTTTGGCAAAAAATAAATGGGCTATTTGACTATTTACTTTTTTCAATAGCCTTAAAATTAATTCAGATCTGTGCATGTAATGTCATACATTTTACTGGCCTTGTGTGTGTTTAACCCTTGTTGAATGGGTTGTAAAAGTTCTGGCTGGCACTGGAAAAAAAGGCTACAACAGCTCCGTAAATAGTGTTGCGTGTGCTACCCAAGAACATTCTCTTGGTTATTGCCGCACAAACCCCACATTTGCTACAGTGCATAGTGGAGAAAAAACAGACTAGCCGTGACAAATTCACCAACAGTTTGATAAGGTGGATGCTGCACATTGGTGGTGGTGGAGGGGAGTCCCCATTACCTGTAAAGCGCTTTGAGTGGAGTGTCCAGAAAAGCGCTATATAAGTGTTAGC